ATGTTGATTCTTCCTAACCAGGAGCAGGGGATGTTTTTCCATTTTCTTATATTCTTTTCAATCTCATTTTTTCAGGGTGCTGTAGTTTTCAGTGTAGAGATCTTTTGCTTTTTTCATTGGATTGATTCCTAGATTCTTCATTTTTTCGATGCTATTATGAAAGGAATTGTTTCCCTAATTTCTCTCTTAGTGAGTCTATTGTTTGTGTACAAGAAGGCTATTGATTTTGAGTATTGACCTTGTATCCAGCTACTCTGCTGAATGTGTCAATTAAGTCTAGAAGTCTTTTGACAGAGTTTTTTGAGTCTTCTATGTAGAGTATAATATCATCAGCAAATAGTGACAGTTTAACTTCTTCCTTTCCTGTCTTTATTGCTTTAATTTCTTTCTATTGTCTATTTGCTGTAGGTAATGTTTCTAGAACTATATTGAACAGGAGTGGTGAGAGTGGGCATCCTTGTCCTGTTCCTGATTTTAGCATAAAGGTTTTCAGTTTTTCACCATTTAATATGATATTGGCTTTTGGTTTTTCACAGATAGCCTTTATCAAGTTGAAATAAAGACCATCTATTCCAATTTTCTGCAGGGTTTTTATCATGAATGGGTGTTGAATTTTGTCAAATGCTTTTTCTGCAACTATTGAGATGATTATATGTTTTTGTCCTTGACTCTGCTAATATAGTATATTTATTGATTTACATATGTTGAACATCCTTGCTTCCCTGGTTAAATCTGACTTGGTCAGGGTGTATGATATTCTTGATGACCCTCTGTTTTCTGTGTACCGGTATCTTACTAAGGATATTTGCATCTATGTTCATTAAGGAGACTGGGCTGTAGTTCTCTTTTTCTGTTGGGTCTTTCCTTGGTTTGAGAATCAAAGTAACACTTGCTTCCAGGAATGAATTTGGAAGTATTGCTTCCCTTTCAAGTTCATTGAAAAGTTTAAAAAGTATTGGCAGTAGTTCTTCTCTAAATGTCCTGTAGAATACATCAGGACCTGGGCTTTTCTTCATTGGTAAACTTTTAATTATATTTTCAATATCACTGATCATAATTGGAATGTTTAGAATTTTTTTTTATCTTCTTCATTCAACTTTGGTAATTCATAAGTACCGAGAAATTTGTCCATTTCTTTTGTGTTTTCCATTTTATTAGAGTACAGGTTCTTGAAGTAGGTATTGAAGATCCTCTGGATTTCGGGTGGACCTTTTGTGACTTCGCCTTCACCTTTTTCACTCCTAATTGCATGGATCTGAGCCTTTTCTTTCCTTTTTTTTTTTTTTGACAAGGTTGGCTAAGGGTTTATCAATTTTATTTATTCTTTCAAAAAACAACTTTTCAATTCATTGATTGTTTTGTATAATTCTCTAAGTCTAAATTGCATTGATTTCTGCTCTGATCTTTATAATTTCCTCCTTTGTACAAACTTTGGATTCTTCTTGCTCTTGATTTTCTGCGAGCCTAAGATTCATGATTAGGTTATTTGAACTCGCTCTGTTTTCCTAGTATGGGCATTCACTGGTATGTATTTCTATCATAGAATTCTCTTTCATTGTGTTCCATAGATTTCTGTATGTTGTATTGACATTATCATTTATTGTAAAAACTAATTTCTTCTGTGAACCACTGATTCTTCAGGAGATTGTTGTTCAATTTCCATGTGTTTTTGAAATTCTTATGGCTTCTTATGCTATTGATCTCCAGCTCAATTATACTATGGTCTGAAAATATACATGGGATAACTTTGATTTCTTTGCATTTATTTAAACATCTTCTATGACCAAGTATGTGGTCTATTGTGAAGAATGACCCATGTGCAGCTGAAAAGAATGTATATTCTGATTTTGTGGGGTGGAACACTCTGTAGACATTGATTAAGTCCATTTGTTCAAAAGCTTGGTTCAGTTCTAGTATTTTATGGTTGATTTTTTTTATCTAGATGATTTGTCTATTTGTGATAGTGGGGTATTTAGGTCCCCCCTACAATTGTGTTTGTGCTTATTTGGTTTTTCATGTTACTTAATATTTATTTTATATAGTTGGGGCCATTAATATTTGGTGCATATATATTTATGATTGTCATAAATATACATCCTTTAAATGGATGTTGTAGTGGCCTACTTTGTTTCTCTTAATAAGTTTTGGTTTGAAATTTACTTTGTGAATATGTTAGCTACCCCTGATTTTTTCTGGGCTCCTGTCACATGGAGAACTGTTTTCCATCCTTTCACTTTCTATGAGTTTCTTTTTGAACTAGGTGTGTTTCTTCTATACAACATATTGCTGGATTTTGCTTCTTAATCCATTCTGACAGTCTATTTCTTTTGAATGGTGAATTGAGGCAATTGACATTGATGGTTATAACTGTTATGTATCGACTTATCATTGTCAGGTTATTGTCCTGTTGTTGGCTCTTTTTAAATTTTCCCCCTCTTTTAGTTTCTTGCCTTGCCTAATTGATTTGCTCTGTTGGGCCTCATGGTGTCGTGATCTTCATTGTCTTTTTCTAGGATATTGTTTAGAATTGTTTGTAGTGTTGGTTTGGTGTTCATGAAGTTTTTCAGGTGTTCTTTGTCATGGAAGTATCTTATTTCCCCATCCATTTAAAAGAGTTTTGCAGGATACATCGGTCTCGGTTGGAGATTATTTTCTTTTAGGGCTTGAAACACCTCTCTCTAGGCTCTCCTTGACCAGAGGTTTGTGTTGAAAAGTTTGCTGTGATTCTGATGGGCTTTACTTTGCATGTGATTTGATTCTTTTCTCTTACTGCTTGTAGTATTTTGTTTGTCTGCTGGGTTTCTGTGTTCTTGACTATTATATGTCTAGATGTAGATTTTTTTTTTTTTAATCATAGCCAGGTGTAGTCCTATATGCTTCACTTATCTGTATGTCAAATTCCTCCCCTTTATTTGGGAAGTTTTCTGTCATTAATTCTGTGAGCAGCTTTTTTAAGTCATGTGTATTTTCTCCTGCTACTTCATGGATTCCTATCAGACTTACGTTATTCTTCTTTGCATCATCTAGGAGTTGTTGGATCAATTTCTCATGATCCCTTCCTGTTTTTAAAAAGATCTCTCTTTTCATGGTCACTGACTGCAATACTATGGTCTATATGTGAAATTCTATCACATTCATTCTTCCTGCTGTGAATGCTTTCTATAGAATTTTTAATCACCTGGATATCTGTTTGAATCTGTTTCATGGATTCCATTTCTTTCTATGTTGGGCATTCATGGTTTCCAGTTCTTTCCCATGCTGGGCATTCATGGCTTCTATCATGGTCCTGAGCTCATCTATTTTTTTTGTCTGTTTCTGTTCTAGAATCTCTAAACATGTCTTTCATTGGGCTCACCATCTCTGTAGTTATCTGGGAAATTATTTCTTTTTGAATTTTTTAGAGCCTGATTGATCTGTTTTGTTACTTCCTGTGCTATGAGTTCAGGGTGTACTGGTGATTGATTGTCAGACTTTTCTAGCTTGTTTTCCCTAGAATTTGTCATTGGTGAACTGGAGGTCTGTACTTGTGCCTTGCTTAAGTGTTTTCTCATTTTTATTTTTGTTTGGGGCTGTCCTTGGTTTAATTTCTGGGTTAGTTCTTTGACCTTCCTAATAGAGCTGCTCTTTAGGTTTTGATTCTCTAATGACTCAGAGACACTTTCATTTTTATAGTATCAGAAAGGACAACTCATTAAATCAATCACAACCCTTTAGCCCAACTGATACAATCAACAACACAATAGCATCAAGCACAGCTTAGAAATTGACCATTTGTGGTAGTTATTGATCTATCACCTTTAAACCATGTGAATTAAATAAAAATCGAGGCCCATCCCCAAATATGTTTATAGTGAATAAACATATAGCCACTTTACCCTTCAGGATGGGGACTTTGAAGGAGTTAGGAGGAGATGAATAGATAGGTAGAAAAGTAGGAGAAGGTTTCAAGTGAAACCAGAGGACAAAGGATGATCATGCAAACTCTAGGAAAGTGTTGAAGACAAGAGAGAAAGATAGCATGCAAGAATAAAGACAAGAATAGAACAACTTAGCAGTAATAGGGACTCACTTTCCTTTGAAACTAATGACACCTGACTGAAGGAAAAAGAGAGAAGAAAAGAAACGAAAAAAGGAAGAAATCTGAATTAGGGAGGAACAGGAACAAAGCAGGAAATGAAGAATAATGTGGGGGAGCAAGCAACTGAGCAGGAAAAAGAAGGCAGAAAAAAATAAAGAATTTGCAGATTGGGAAAAAATTTAAAAATTAAACTAAAAAGTAAAAATTAAAAACGTGAGGTAAAGAAAGAAGAAAAAAATTTGAAAAGCCTTTTTCAGGGTATATCTCTGCTGTCACAACAGACAATGTGGGCAGCAATGTGCAGAATTAAGTCAATTAGTCTCAAATAGCCAATGGCAGACCCTTGAGATTCAGGCTAAATTCTGGCTGCAAGGCCCAAGTTGAGCTCCCTGACCTTCTACAGGGTTGAACTCTGCAAGGTTCTACTATAGGTTCCCATTGCCCTTCCCCTGAAGATAGTCCAAGTTCTGATGGAAGGTGGTGATCCCTCCAACATACCAACTACAGAGGTCTGATGTACCTTTATTACAGCTGTTCACTTCTGTTCTATCTTCTGGAGCTCGGTAAAATGGCCTTTATGACCACCTGTGCCTCTGCAATGTGGATCCAGGTATTGGCACAAACAGGAGGCCCTAGAGCAAGGGGATAGGGAGTTGCTGCAGAGGCACCCGCATGGCTGGGCAGTCGTCAATGGTCTGATCCGATGAAGGCCCCCCAAATAGATACAATTTCTATCAGTTTGTCATCTCATTAGAAGCTATTTAGCTTAGTTTTTATGTTTAATTTGTTATGGGCCACTATGCTCAAAGCACAAGTGTAATATGAGCATTGTTTAAAATGAAATATCTCCTTCATCATTGGGAGTTTTCTAGTAGTTCACATTGTGGAAATTTATTTTGAAAAACTTTTCTTTCCTCTTCAGCTCAGCAATCTCTTAAAACTCACTCACCTTGATTTGAGTATGAACCACTTTACTACAATCCCTCTTGCTGTATTGAACATGCCTGCCCTCGAGTGGCTGGACATGGGAAGCAACAGACTTGAACAACTTCCTGGTACTATAGAAAGGTAAAATAAATAGCTTTTCATGCTACTGACAAATATCTTAAAACCACCTATGAAGAATAAGAAATAAAATGAACAAGACAAAAAGGATTCTGAACATAATCAACTACAGTACATCCATTAGCTTGAAATATGCTATCATTAAACAGAATATTTTCATTTATTCCAAATAAGTAAAAAAGGTTTAGGGAGTGGAAAATTGGCTAACTTCAAGATATTGACATGAATATGCCACAACAATAACAACAGTGCCTAATGCATGCTATCCCCTTCTGTACAGTTAAGAAAGGATTGCCCAAGGTAAATTAGTAGGCATTTAACTAGTAAGATTTCAATGAAGGCATCCCAGCCTGAGTCCATGGTTAAGCCAGTGTGTGTACTGCCTTGCCCTTAATGGTCATTGTAGTGACTTCTTTGGACAACCTCTCTCTGTCCCTCTCTGTACTGTGAATTGAACCCAGAGATACATCCCTACTCCTTCTTAAAATTTAATTGCTAAATTATCCACACTGGATCTGAACTTGTGATCCTCCTGCCTCAATCTCCCAGACAGCTGGGATTATAGCCATATGTCACCACACCCAGTTGGCATAGGGATAATTTCTGATTATTCTTGCAAGATTTGGAATAGGTAACATTTATTATTAAGAAAATTGTGAGAAAAGTGAAGAATTCTAAAATACGTTGATTTCATTTCTATCACCACAGGATACAAGTACTATATTGTGGTGATTTAACTCCCTGATATAGTTTCCCTAGTAATGAGGTAATGCACTTAGTAAATTCAATAAGTATATTGACTAAATGAGATACTGTAAAAGATGACATTTGATTTTGAAGGTAATAAGAATTCAGCTTATCATATTATATTTGACTAATTGCATAAAACTTAATTCTTCAGAATGCAGAGTCTACATACACTATGGCTACAACGGAATGAAATAACATGCTTGCCAGAAACAATCAGCAATATGAAAAATCTGGGTACTCTTGTTCTCAGCAACAATAAACTGCAAGATATTCCAGCATGCATGGAGGAAATGGCGAATCTGAGGTAAAAAGCTGTAGACACAAGCTTCGTCATGCCCAGTAGAAATTGTACAATTTGATAAATAGTATTCATATAATATTTTCTCAACTATTTAACAATCCTTGAGACTAACACAACACTGAGATTTATCAGCTTTAAGAAATGTCTTATTTTGGTAGCATTTTCATGAAAATTCTCTTTATACTTCTAACACACCTTATTAGCAAAATAAAAACCAAGAAAGATTAAAAAGAACTATTTTTCTTCTAAGTGGCTACAAATGGACACAGGCTATTATGTTACTCGTAGTACAATATTTTTACTAATTACTACCAGAACTCTGTTGAGTGTTTCCTTTCCAGAATCTAACTTGCTGACAGTAAGAGTAAGAGAACACACACCAAAACTTCCCCAACAAAATCACTCATTTACTCAGCATAGCTTCTCACCTTTCATTTACTCAGGAACTTTTGGTCCTGTACTAAATGGTGAAGACACAATGATAAATAAGACACAGGTCTGTAAAGTTGGCAGCAACTTCATCCATAGCATTAATGGTATAGTTAAGATGCATTAACATTGCTCTTAAAAGTTAAACTATCAAATGTATGCTATAAAATAATAATTGCTATATTTATAATCATTGAAAGTAAGCTGTCCCTACAGCTAATATTTTTTTCTTCTAGTAAAGAAACAAAGATTCTTTGGATATATCACTTTCCACCAAAATGTTATTGAAATCAGTTTTTATAAAACAGCAATTTAGCATATTGTCATTTAACCTTTTATCCAGGGAAATGTGTACTTATATGACATCTATAAAAATACTTTTTTGTTCTGTGTGTGTATGTGTACTGCTAGGTTTGTCAACTTCAGAGACAACCCACTGAAATTTGAAATAATACTTCCTCTAAGTAAAAGCACAGATGAAGAGGAGGAACAGGAATTATTTGGCCTTCAGTTTATGTACACATATATACAGGAGTCCCGGAGAAGAGCAGGTATAAGATTTGTATATAGCACAGATTAAATATATTCTCCTTGGTGGCAAGGGTACAGGAGTGCATATATAATTGACTTTTTAACAATTTTTTAAAATAATTTTTATAATAATGATTTGTCTTATTAATTCCTTTACTGATTTCTATCTTGCCTTTCTATAAAATTCTGGATTTTTGGCCAATACTGTGGAATAAAAAAAAAAAAGTGAAATTCAACTCTGTTCAAAATTTTAATAAGGGCTGGAAAAGAGAGGTTGTAAAGATATTAGAAATCTTTTAAGTGAAATCAGGAAATAAATTCCTTGGCCAAGTAATTTAAGCTCAACCAAGGGAATGAAGACTTTATTATTAGCCCAGGCTGACCTTGAACTCATGGCACTTCTCCTGCCTCAGCCTCCTGAGTACTGAAACTTTGATGCATGCCTGGGTTGAAGACACAATTCTTAACAGATTCATTACCTCAGTCTACCAGCTTGTCATACATGTCAGTTTGAGCATGAAGCAGATCTTTGCTATTCCCTGTTTTTCTATCAATGAATATCAAAACATGATTTTACTCAGGAATGAAAGATGTTAAGACAACGGTTTTTTGTTAGTTATTTTTGCAGTGCTGGGGACCAAGCCAGAGCCTCAGATATGCTAGGCAAACACTCTATTGAGCTATATCTCCCAGAACATGAAGTTTCAATATACAGATTTCAACAAATTAGTCTAATTTAGACTTTTTTTTTTTCAGTACTAGGGATTGAATCTAGGGCCTTTGCACTGAGTTACATCTCCAGATCTTTTTGTATTTTGTGAGAAGATCTCATTAAATTGGTTAGGCCAGCCTGAGTTTGAACCTGTGATCCTCCTACCTCAGCCTCCCAAGCAGCTGAGTTTATAGGTCCCTGCTACCATACCCAGATAATTTTTTTAAAAGTGTCTAAATTAAACCATGATTACGAGAATAGGGCAAAAAGCACAATTCTGTTCGTAAAAGCAATGGGAACAATAGTATAATAAAAATCATGGCTATAATTCAGTAAAATGTGAGGTTTTTGACTGACAAGGTAGACTAGTTCAATTCAAAGCAACAAATACTTAAGAGTATAGTCAAACATTTCTCTACTAGAAAATCACTTTGCCAATATCCAGTGGCAGAGGTAAAAATCTAAATTATGAGGCTAAGTGATGAAATTAGTATATGCCAATATCCAATTTAGGAAGTAATGATTAAATCTACTGTAGCAAGGTCACAGAAGCGTAGAGGACAGATTGGGAGAATACAAAGAAAAAGCATCCTAATGGGCTAGGGACTAATTTTGGAAACAGGATAAATATGTAAGAGACAAATAGGTAGAATGGATAACTGAATGAAGATGGGAAGAGAGAGTAGTTCAGGGATGCAGAGGGCAATGGAATGGCTGTGGTTTGGTGGGCATAGTCAGGTGTTAGAAGCAGAGAAAGCAGCTGGTAACTCTGATGCACCTGTGGGACATGCAGGATATGGTCACAGTATGAATCAGTGATGATGCACCTATGGCATCAGTGCCACAGAGGGCTGTCTGTTATCACTGAAAACTAAAACGTTCACCTCGAGGGTGTAATTGGCCTGATATTCAAGAAGGGGGTTTGCTGAACCTGCATGCCCCACTCTGTCACTTTCTCATGCCATGTGAGAAAAAATAAGGCTGGGAAAAACAGTAATCTTAACCTAAGGCTAGAGTGTTCTAGGTTAAGTTTATGTTCCCATAAAGTACAAATCACCATATCAGAAACTCATCAGTAGGCTAAAGGGTCCATCATACTGAATCAGTATAATTCTAGCATTTATATGAATTCATCATGAAACATCGCTGAGATTTTACTTCTTGTAGAATATCTTTTATTTCTGGGCATAAATTGTTGAATGATACAAAATAAATTTTATGACACATGAGCATTTCTGACAATAAACTAAGGTTAATTATTGAATAATATATTCTCTTCATTTATGTTTAGGGAATATGGGTAACTTAAAAATAATCAAATTACCTTACTTTAATAGTATTTGACATAAGATATAACAAGAGGAAAAAGTTAACAACTTAAAGAGGTAATAAAACAGAAAACTGCCTATGTTATTTAAAATAGACTCATGAATTACTACTTTTAGTTAATATTATTTACTTTGTGCTTGGAATGGTTCTAAGGATTTTACTTGTGTTATCTCACTTGATGCACAAAACAACCTTGTGAGGTAGGTTTTATCATCATCATCATCATCATCATCATCATCATCATCATCATCATCCCCATTTTAAGAGGAGAAAGTTGAGGCACAAAGAGATTAGTAGTTTGCCCATAGTCACCCATTGAGGGTGGTGGGGTTAGGATTTGAACCTAGGCAGAATGACAAAACACATGAGATTAAGTTAAAGTAAAAAGGTCAGGAATTAAAAATGGGTAGGATTCTTCTTTACAATTCATACAATCATAGACCTGTAGGTAAAAATAATGAATAGGATAAAAATAGTTACCTTAGAATATCACTACTATATATGAAATTAGCAATTCTGTTTCTCTGCATTGGCATATGTTTTGATAATTTAGACAGCTTTTACAAATAAATGCAGAAACAAATCAAGGTCTCAAGTAAGACATGGAAGAGAATAACAGTCCTACCATATGTTTGGTTTAATATTTGATTGTGCATAGAACACTTTCATCAGTTAAATAAGGCCTAAATGTGACAAGGTTTTTGGTTTTATCATTTAAATTTCCACTTTATTCCAAGTTATTTTCTCAAATGGGAGAAAACATACTTACTGTTCCTACTTACATATGTAGGAAATAGCCCAATAAATAATACATGTGTGTACATGTATAAATGAGAAGTTACTTGTAAACTTCAAATATATTTTGTGATTTATGCTTATAAATATCTTTTTTAAATCTTATAATAATTCACAAAAAATGAAGTGATTTTTTTTTTTCCTTGAAAATATCTCTAATTTTGGTGTTTTTCACGGACAAACTATGGTAGTACATAATTAATTATATGTCTGGCTCTGGAAGCCAGAAGGTGATTTCATTACTGATTGTAAGCACCCTTTCCAGATCTGTGGTTTCTAGTTATTTGTTTGTATGAGGTTTTGTGAGACAGGTTCTCACTATGTAGCCTCGCCTGACCTTGAACTCATGATCCACCTGCCTGAGCTAGCCTCCCGGGTGCTGGGATTATAGGCTTGTACCGCTGTTCCTGACTCCAGATCTGTATAGAAAAAAGAAATCCACGCATATCCTAAATTCTAAGATTGGCCCTTGTTACAAACTGACAATTGATTATTGCATCTTGAACTTGAGATATAAAAAATATTAAATAAAACCAAAGGAAACAAATTTCTCCAAATAATGTAAATAGAAAATTAATGTTAATCACACATTGATGTGTTATGTGTGTTTCAGATGACGAAATCATGTGCTCAACTACTTTACCAAGTGCTACAAATACTGATGGATAATATAACTCAAAAAGGCCTGCTGAAGAGGATTACTTTCAGAATTTGAGGAATACTCTCTGTTTGGATTTCTCAAGTAAAAAACAAAGCTACTACTATTGATGAATGAGGCCACAGTATTTTTGAAGATCATATTATCTGCTATTCAAATTATATTTTTGTTGATATAAAAATATAATTTTAAAAGGGTTTTTTTTGGTGGAAGACAAATGATATTCAAATTTCTTTTCCATTAGGCAGTTGTTTCTGCTGATGAAGAATGAATTGGTAAAGCAGTTAACAATACATTTTCCAAAGACACCAAAGGGTCTGTGTAGTACTGTAAAGCAGGATTAAATCCCTTCTGCTCTAAATACTGGATACGGCCTTGGTCAATCAGGAATTTACAAAGATGTCCTATTTTCTTCTTTTCTTCAACAGTAAGAAGCCTAAGTTGAATAAACATACAAAAAATAATTAAAATTTTATAAAGGCTTATAAAAATTATTTATCATTTTTTATGAAGAAGCTGTTAAATATCCTATGTCCCACACTTCCAACACATATTTTATGATCAAAATAAAAATGTATTCTAACTTACCCTATAATTAGATCAGAAAATATATACTTATGAATAAATTGTTACAATAGTCATGGAAAAAGAAAGTAGCCCTGTCTTATTAATAGTTCTACTTTTTGGAATTTTTGGTGACTGAAGTTAATTGTGTTCTGAAAATATGACACAGAAAATTAACCAAATAAACAACTTAGACATTTTAAACTAGTGCTGTTATGAGTATGATGATGCAGTTTTGCACCAGCCCACTTCTTCCCACCTGGAACGTTAACCTCTCTTTCTCTAGCATAGCCATGGCTCTACACGTTACCCGCCCATCAGTCATTCAGTGTCTGGCAGCAGATTGAGTCTGGAGGTACTGCAGTGCTTATACACAAAGTTTGGTACTGTCCAGCTTCAGACCCACTAGAAGTCTTGGATGGCATTCCCCGCTGATAGGGACGGGGAGAACTGCATTGTACAGTAGTAACAAAATGTTTCTCCTTTAGTGTTGTGCTTTACAAAGGCAGTCTCTTACCCAGGTAAGCGGTCGGTGCTCTCATCTGTGATTCTGCTCTCTCCACCGTCATGCTCTTCACTATCATCAATCCGATCATCTCTTCTCTTTGTGGTAATATTTGAAGCTTCCAACGCCATTTTCTGCATCCCACAAGTCGCCCAACTACTCATTCGCTGGAAATAGTGGAATTCCACTGCTCCAAGGCCTAGTGCCCTGAAATATTCTTTGCCCACATAATGTCTCCAATCACACCTGTGGTGACAACAGAGTGCAATAACAATGCCAGCCACAGGAGTCCACTTCTCTGGGACATTTTTTTCACTTCCTTCCTTGGTCAAAGTGTTAATTTCTTTTTCTGTTTTATCATTCTTTATGCGTTTGGCTAAAGGTTCTTCATTCCTTTCCTCATAACTGGCAGCATAGGTTTCAACCAAACATCGTAATGCAAGATCTGCAAACACAATTATGTGGCCCCCCAAAACCACATCATCTTTAAAAATAAGTATTTTTTTTACATGTCTTACACAGTATGGTTTTTAAAAATCCAACAATGAAAACAATAAAAGACCTATGTAGCTTTATGTCACAAGTCAACTTGGTGCAAATCTGCTCATTTCTATCTTAATTTCTCTAGTGATTTATTTTGCATAAAGCCAACTTCCCCATAAAACTATTGGAAACTCTCTACAATCTGAAATATTTATGTTCAACTACTTGGTTTGCCCCTCATCTCTTCTACCCTGGCTGAGGAAATGATTTCTATAGAAAACACTTGGCAGGTGTGGTAGCCCATGTCTATACTCAGCATTCTGGGAGGCTGAGACAGGAGGATGGTAAGTTTAAGCCCAGTCTAGGCAACTTAAGGACTTCATAAGACACTATCTAAAAATCAAAAAGGGCTATGTATCTAACTGAGTGTGAGGGCCCTGGGTTCAGCCCCTAGTACAGGGGGAAAAAACCCAAAACCAGAAAACATTTATATTTCATGGGAGTTTTAAAGTTAAGAAATCCAAATGAATTAAGGAAAACAATTTTATCAAGAAACTAGTCTTGAGGGCTGGGGATTTAGCTCAGTAGCACTGTGCCTGCCTTGCAAATGCAAAGGCCTGAGTTCAATTAGCAGTACTGCAAATAAATAAATAAATAAATAAATAAATAAATAAATAAATAAATAAATAAATAAAAGTAAGAGAAAAGAAAAAAGGAAAAAAAAAAGAAACTAGTCTTAATATGTAAGATATTCACTGTAAATTCTGAGTAACTGAAGTTGCAAAAAAGTGGGTCAGAATGTGGAAAGTAGGCTTGGTTGAGTGATCTTTCTGTACTTTAGCCTGTCCTCAGCAAGCATTTAATGTATACCTTTTGTGTGCAAAACTTTGAGAATATAATGATTAACACAGATTTAGTATTATTAACTCATATTCAAATGAAAAAATTAATAAATTTTACAAATTTTTAAATGGATTTTTTATGACAATGAAAACTTACATTGTTGACAATATTTGAAAGACCACAAATATATATCACAAAACCCCACATTTTCTCTCATTATACATATTGTGTCTGAGCAATCAAAAATCAATGTATATTCTTAAATTTTATTTCCTTAAAATGTCACAAGTGAATATTAAATGATCTGATATTTCATCAGGAAATTTAATTCAATATGTGATTTTAAATCAACAAATATTATTGGGAACTTATTATTTGGAGCAAGTGACAGCTAATGTATTATCTTATAAACTATTATTTTCTTCCTTCCTTTTCTGCTTTTTTCATTTTTTAAATTTATGAGATAGGTGTCTCACTAGGTTGTACAGGCTGTCGAATTTACAATCCTCCTGAGTAGCTGGGACTACAAGTGTAACACTGAGCTGGGTTTCATAAATTATTATTTTCTAAAAAATGTATTCAGGCATGGTTTATTCATATTTAAGTAAATGATTTTCAGAAATGAGAATAACCAGAAAAAATATTAAAAGGAATAAGTTATTTCAGAATAAAAAGGAGATTTAACAATCTATCTTAACTTTTCTTTAATAAATTTCATTTTATCCCATCCTCCATCCTCTTCCCTGTTAATTCCTTATTTATTTATTTATTTATTTTTTTATTTTTAGAAAGGATCTCCTTTTGTAATTCAGGCTGGCCTTGAACTCTCCTCCTGCCTCAGCCTCTCAAGTGCTGGGATTACAGGCGTGCATCACTATACCTAGCTTTTATAATGACCTTAAGGGATAAACCTACATCATTAGAAAGGGACAATGAAACAACAAATTGGTAGCTAAGATAATTCATTCATTCATGCCAATATTCATTGAGTTCTTGCTATAGACCAAGCATTGTTATCTAAACAATTAAAAAATAGGAAGTTAAAGTTGGGTAGAGGGTATTCCTGTAATACTAAGGAAGCACATCTTATTTAAGAAAGCTCCCTGTAAGTGGTGATAACTGAGTTAAAGGTTGAATAGAAACTATCCAGTTTTTTGTATGGATGACAATGGAATTCTAAGAATAGTAGGGATAGTACAGTATATGGCAAAGTAAACAGGGCTTGATGTTGCTGAACAGTAAGGCTGGCAAAGACCTACCAAAGAGTTTAAAGAAGGGAAAAGATACATTAATTGTATAGCAGTTATGTCTGAATATTAATAATGAAGGACAGGTAGGGGAAGGTGACTAAGAAATAAACAGAAAGAATGGCTCAGATGAAGGGGTAGAACTTGGAAAGAAGTGTCACAGAAGAAAAGAAAACAATGGCAAAAAGGATGAGCAACAGCAGTAGAGATGAAAGGGGAATTCAGATTAGAAGGGGAAAAGTGTATGGAACATGAGAAATGGCCATTGTACATTACACTTGTGAGAAACCTGGATTAGATGAGAAGAGCCACAGGTGTGTGTTTTCCCCAGCCCCAAGGGTGGAACTGTCTACTTCAGAAGCCTTTTATGAGGGTTAAATAAGGTGTGTGAAATATTCTAAAAACACTCAATTATATAGTATTCTAAGTCTTTTTCAGCCAACTGAACAATGTCTTGTAGGGACAGTATGTGTGGAGGATGAAACCAGAAGCCAGGAATAAGGTGTAACAACAGCTAACAATTAGTGAGCACTTCACATATAACCTTATAAATTATATTATCATTGGTATATGATGCATGAGGTAACCAAAGCTCAGAAAGATTAAAATTATACAGAAGAACTGAAAGACTGACTCCAAAATGCATGTTTCCACTTTACCATGCTAAATCTGATTTTAAAAAAGTTCTAAAACAAGATATCTTGGATTTCTCCTGGCATAATATTTGTTTTTTCCCAGCATCTTTTTTTGTGTTTGCCAGGCAGGTGCAGCACCACTGAGTCCCAGAATCTTGAAACAATAATCTTCTAGTGGGACAGGTTACTGTCCGGTACTTGTTATAATACAGAGTCAGTGCTACTATGAAGACTGATGAGCTATAAACATAAAAAGTCTAAACTCCTCAAAGGAGACCACTAAAGCTGCTGGGGCCATTTAAGCTCTAATGTAATATGTCCATTTAAACATTAGTAATGTGTTTACATACCTGTTGCCACACCACAGAGATGTTTTCCAATTCCTACCACAGGTAGTTTTCCTTCTCTTAGAACAGGAATCTTGTCTGAAATAAAAGTAAGAATTAAGTTAGCATTTTTGTAAGATAAAAGAGTTAATGTAATCTTCTAAGAGAAAAAATTAATTAGAATCTTAATTTTAAACCCAGTGGCTTATATATAAATGCTGGACTATTTCCTCAAAGCTGGGTTAAAATTAGTAGATGGAAGATGTTGCTGAGCTATATTTGCATTATTATTTTTTAAAATAGTAAATTTCAGAAAAGGTAGAGAAAGGGCACTAAGGAGAATGACTGAGGGGTATGTGTATATGAACTGAGAATTTCACATGCATAACTTATTTTCTTTGGCATAGAATAAAATTCTAGGAAGTATCTTTTGTGCATTAGCAAGGCAGACTATATCCCATTTTCTTCAATGATTTTGGTAAAGTCATGTCTATAGGAAGAAAGATAGTTCATGATATGAATAGACAAAATTAATTTAAATAGGACAAAGAAGCAAGTTAGGATATACCATCAAAATGTATAAACTCTACCTAAAGATAACACTTCATTTCCAGCTGATACTAAAAAATACTTTTTTTAAGGTTTCAATCATAATTCAGTTTACATTAATTTGTTGCATATAATATTCTATTTTAATAGCAATGAATTACTTTGCTCTTCCTGAAGCACCTGTTCCACAGGATTAGATTTTCTGCATGATTGGATTTCCAAGCAACCCTCAGAGTTTGAAACATCTGTGATTTATGGGAAAGCAAAAGAAAGTTACGCAACTTACTCAAACACAAGTGTTGAATATCAATTTGAAGTCTTTCAAACACTGAATTTTTCTTTCTGTGTTTACCATCTACCTGTATAAACAGAACATGATTGTAACAGTGATTTTTCACGTTACACAAAAGCTTCATGAAAACATCTCTATTTGTTTTCAAAATGCAGAGGAAATGATTTTCCATATTATTTTTTAACTATTTAAAAATACAATGAATAACAAAATTTAAGACTGCACAATCTAAGCTAGACATAAATAATGGCACATGCCTGTTATCCCAGCACTATGGGAGGCTGAGGCAGCAGGATTGCAAATTTGAGCCTGGCCTGGGCAACTTTGTGACATGGTGAGATCCTATGAGGCATACTTTTTGTGAAAACTCCAAAACAATACCATGCATTTTTATAAGGTTTAAATTTTTTTATCAGTTATCATGTATACACTATTTCTTTTAACCTTAACAATGTATGACTCACTTGCAAAGAAACTAAGGTTCACAGATGTTCGGTGACTTAGCTCAGTTTACTTGCCAGCTCCTTTATCTTTGTCAACTCCGGTATTTTATTTTCAGCTCACTCCCGCTCTCTCTGAAAGATCACAACCATTTTCATCTATACCGACATGCCTGTGACTTACCAATCTACATTTGTGGCCCAGCTCTCTCTGAGGAGCACCAGACACATCTCATTGTGAACTAGAATGCTCTATACTTCCACAGCAAACTGGACACATCCAAGACCAAACTCACTATTTCTTCTTCCCTACCCATCTTTCCATTACTCCTTTTTAATTTCCTAACTCAAGAAGAGTACCAGTTAGTCACTTATGCCATAAAAACCTTACCCAAAATTATGTGTTTCTCAAATTCAATGAATAATAATAAATCATCAAGTCCTGTGGCTTCCAACATCTTAACATTTCTCATGCTCTTCCCTCTGCATACAATTGCCTTGGCTCTCTGGCCCATTTCTTACTTAGATTATTCACTGCATAATATTACCTTATTATTAATCTCACTACTTCAAGTCTCAGATTATTCTGCTACAGTTTTAATTGTATTTCTAAGAAAACTTTTAAAAACTCTTTTTTACTTTACTAATACTTATGTATTCTTTTATAGTTCTCTTAACTGTTACTTCTCCCATGAAATCTTCTATGACAACCCACATGAGACCAAGGTTGGTTCTCTATCTTCATGGTCCCATAGTATCAGGTATTCACTATTATTATAACACACTTAGCATACAGAACCAAAATACTTCCATACCTGCCCAACTAGCTGTAAGTTTCTTGAAGGCCAGAACCAAATCTTAGCCAGGCATGGTGGCACACACCCATACTCCCAGCACCTTGGAGGCTGAGGCAAGGGGGCTCCCTTGAGTTTGAGGCCAGCCTGGACTATACAGTGAGTTCAAGGTCAGCCTGAACTACATAGCGAGACCTTCTCTCAAAAACAAAACAAAACAAGTAAACAAACAAAAACTAAAAAAAACAAAAAAACAAAAAAATCCCCCAAAGTACCAAATCTTTTCTGCTGTGCTGCAGCACACGACAGGACAAAATTATACTTCTTCCTGAGCATTATATATGAAAGTTTTTCTCAGCGGGCTCTCCTCTCCGGTCTCACCATTGCTGAACTCTACTTCACATCACACACTTTTATCACACAGAAATGTTTTCATGTTTCCTTGTTGCTTCAGGCATTTGGTTACACTACTTTTGCTTCCTAGACCCCTTCCAAAGCCCTCATTAACAAACATGACTTTCAAGATTTCAAGAATCACTTTTTCTGTGCCGTTATTCTCTATCCCTCCCTGATATAACATCTGTCACTCCTTCCTTTGAACCTTGCACTATACTTTATACAAACTGCACCCCTCATATCTTAACACGCTACTACAACTGTTGATTTGCTTATCTCTCCTTACTAAACATAAGTAATCTCTCCTTTCCCTGTCTCTGCAAATAGCCTTCTCTCTTTTTAACTTTCTACACCCAATGTCTCTTATGGTGACTGAGAGTATACCGAATAGGTGTTTATGAGTGAACAGTAAGTGGTGAAGGTAAAACACCAAGATGTCACACTGACCTACATGCCCAGCCATTTATTTACTTACTTACTCAGAGACGAGGTTGAACTAAATTGCTAGGTTGTCCAGGCTGGGCTTGAATTTAGTGATCATCCTGCCTCAGCTTTCCAGTGTGCTTGGATTTCAGGTATGTGCTAACAGCTGGCATCCACTGCTTCTAAGTCTAGCTTATGCTCAGCTCTTTCTATATTTTCCTGTCTTTGCAAATAATTTTAAGAACTCAGATCATAGACTATCAAAATTTAGATTTAAAACATTTACCTTCAGCTAGAAAGTTTTCAATATACTTAGAACTGTAAAAAGCTATAATCAAATGTGCAAAAAAGAAAAATCATTTCAGAAGACATTTTTATCATTTTTTTCCTAAATAAGAAAAATGTAAACAAAAATTGGTTACTACTATACTGCAACTGTTTCACTTACCTTGAATCTTGTGGTTACTTTTTCTACTAGGATGAAGTGAACTTTTTCAGCATCTTTTAAAGCAATATCAACCCAGTGAGATAATTTTCCCTTTCCCGCTCCAAACTCAACAAAGCATCTTCTTGGGCCAAGTAATTTTAATTTTTCAATGTTACCTAAAATAGAAGCCTACAAACTTCACAAGATTATTTTACAAACTAAAGCAAACACATTTAGCTCATATGGGAAAACAGCAAGGCAATTTCTACATATGGCTGTATGGTCATATTGATAATTATTTGACTCAATGGTTTTGGTCTTTTAAATACTTTATACTCTACTTAGAAACATATCCATGCCAAATATTTTTAATATTTTATATATATTTTTGAAATGGAAATATTTCTAAACCCTGAAAAATTAAATAAAATCTCATAAAATAAACATACCTGCTGCTTTAGGTGCTTGATTGCAGAATCTCCATTTTTAGGGTCATTAAGGGCATCATGTAATGCTGGGTGGGACATAATGTGATCTTCAAGTGTAGAATTCAAATCTGTACCAAGCATAAACATGATAGCATAAGCAACCAAATATGAAACTATAGGACCTTGGACAATGGTAGCGACATCTTGTAAACCAGAATAGGATCGACTCATTTACCACCTAATTACTCTAAAACAATTTAACTAGCAAGTTTAGGCTAGTTAGACTTACCTTTACTTGCTTTTCTCAATTTCTTAATTAAGTTTTCCAACTGCTCTTCAGATAGAGAAGAAATTGGAACCTATATACAAAAATAAAACTAAATAATGTAGCCAAAAAATTGCTTTAAAGTAGTATGGCAGAGACTGAGTAGAGGCTTAACAGTCGGCCAAATCTCAATGGCAGCTTAGGCTTTTCTTCCTGATAAAAATCTCTTCCCTAAGTTGCTATCAGAATGGCCCAAATGCTAAGTGTCAACTCAATCTCTGCCATGCTGCTTTAATCCCCCTAATATCCTTAGGGTCAAGAAGAAGTCTAGATTGAGAAGAGTTCAAGAATAAGAAGGGACTCAGAGCCATATTATATCTTGTTATGAGGCATAAGCTGGTCTGGCAACTACACATCACTGATAATGCTGATTCTATAGGAACAAATTTATTCCAAAGACTGGAACACAGTTTATTCACAAGGAGATAGTTTACAAATACCTTTTAAACATTAAGTCAGAGTACTTACTAGCTGTTCAGGTATTTCTGTTTCATCTTTTAAGCCTGCATTAATATCCTGCATAAAGAAGTCCTTGACAAAAACAAAACAAAACCGTAACATTATTAATACGAAGGTCACAACAGTTAAGCTAAAATCGATCCTTTCCTTCATCCCACACTCTACAGCTGCCATTCTCCCTTCCACCCATTCATTTAGTTATTACATAATCCTGAGTACCTACTGTGGTGCCTGCTTTGGTTTAGATCAATGATAGCAAACCTTTTAGAGCTTTCAATGATACAAACAGTCCACTGTGGCATGCATGCCAGAGGTTTGCCATCACTGGTTTAGATGCTGGGAACTAACAATAGTAGAAAACAGAAGAGGCAAATCTCCATTTTCATGGATCTATGTCCTAGTGAGATAGTATCTAAATAAGCATTTATAGTCTAAAAACTTCACTAGTAATTTTATTAAAGTTTTCACCAGTTTATAACATAGACTGAGGACTGAGCCAACTTTGCCTTCTGGTATTAATGCAAAAACAAAGTACATACTACTTATCAGACACACATAAAGCAGACCTATATAATGGTGTAGGTCTGATTTTTTTTGTTTTAAAATAAAAGTAAAAATGCCCTGTGTTACTGTATTATTTAAATGAACATAATGAGATCTTATTTAGGTTCATCTGCAGAGATATAAATTCTTGGTAAAGATCTGATCAGTTTTGTTCAATAAAATTTTGTAAATGATGAAAATATTTTTTATCTGCCCTAACCAAATGATAGACACTAGTTTTAAATATGGAGAGTGCAACCGAAAAATTGGATTTTCAATTTTATTTAATTTTAATTCATTCAAATTTAGTCATATGTGGCTACTGGTTACCACACTGCACAATACAGAAGATCTACTGTTTACTACACAGGTGCTTTAACCAGCGAAGCCACATGGACAATGTAGATCTAGATGAGTGAAGTAATATTATATCTATGAATCCTGTTTTAAATGTGGAAACAACTCCTGGGGACAATGTGTTATGAATATGACTTTCACCACACACATGGCAGAAGGGTAACAACATCCTGATTGTGTGTTGGTACCATTATCTATAATGCGCTCAACAATGAAAACAGGTGATTGAGTAGAATGGGTGAAGACTGAAGGGTTTTGTCGGATACCTCACAAAACTACAGTGAAAAGTTAGCTTTGACTATTAAAACTTGAGGAATTCTTAGTTTAAAATGCTTACAAAGAATGCTCCAGGTAAATTATGCCATGGATTGGATTTTTGTATGTGAAAATTATTTACACTGGAGAAATTTATCACCAACTTTCATTTAATATATAAATTTTTTTCAAATTGATGAGTTTAAAAGGCCAAGCAGAAGAGCGATATGACTTGACTTAGGTTTCAAGTTTTGTTTGATTTAGTGTACTACATGAAGACTGCTGTGTGATTCCTTCTCCCATTTCATCTCACTGCTATTCTTTCTTTCCTTGACACTGTCCTAGCATGCAATAGAATCTGCCCAAAGGTATTTCATTTTTCAAAAATTTATCTTTTCAAACTATTCCCAGAACACATAACCCACCTGCTTGCTTTAACCGAAACTTGGCACTTAGGTAAGGGGGATACTTGCAAATAAAGCCTTCTTTTCTCTTTCTACTAAAGAGGCTAGGGCTTAATGTGGAGGTAGGGTAGTCATCGTTTTCTTCTATACCATTTAAATGTTAAAATAATTTTCTTTTAGGCTTGTAGGATCCAGCCTATGTAGAGGTAACTGGCAATATACTGTATGGGGATATTTTGTTGTCAAAATGACTGAGAAGATGGACTATTGGTAGACAATTTTCCCGTGTCTCTCTATTTTCCACAAGTCTTATAAGCAGAAGCACTGACTGACTTTGTTGCAGGCTATTTTTTCAAGGATATTTCTACACCAAGCGTCCTTGAAAGACAGAAATGGTATCTCCTTCTAGATTATATGGAAGGCTTACTTACTGTACAGTATAACAAAGAAAAATGTCTACTTATGGAACACAGGTCAGGTAAGTTACCGCCCAATTTTTAAAAAGATTTATATATTTCCTGAGCTTGAGGTTCACTGTATATGCAGTATCTCTGTAGTCCCCACTGGGTTTATTCCACAGGCCTTGAGAAACAAGGGGAAATGATGTAAATTACAAGCATCTGTTGCTTGCTGTGAGGAGAGTATGGTAATAAAACATGGAGCTGTGAGTGTAGATTAGTAGGACGGTACATGCTTAACATGTACTGCAACATGAAAGGAAAAAATCTCAGCATTTACAGCCCCGTGGCAAGCTAAAATTCAAAACCTCAGTTCTTAACAAATGTACTTGCCATTTCCTGCTCAGAGGCCAGGATGGATAGTTTGGAATGTACTGGGATCTTTGGAATGTGCATGCCAGGACTGTCCCTCTCAATACATGGAAAGATTGCAGCAGGAAGCACCAGGCTCTTAAAACACTTTTTAAATCTCCCAGCAGTCTACTATCCATCTTCTGGTCATTACTCAATATTCATGAAAGACTTTGACAGTAAGTTATCCTTTCCATTCATTCAAAATCTAACCAAAAAGATCATGTTTTCAAGACATCTAATGTAACAGTTCTCTGGGCCTTTTAAGTTGTAAGCATTCATGTTACATTAATATGTACTTACATGGGCAACTGAACCCTGAATTTGCTGTGAACCATGTAACCCATGAAATCATAAGCTCTATTTGCTGAATATCTGACTACTGTTTTGTAATTTGCTAGTAAAATATACAGTGATTCTCTTGCCCTCATATTATTCTACCTTTAAAGGTTTCTATTCACTTTTTCCTCGCTAATTTCTGACTGCCATTTCATGCCATCCAGTCTACATACCCACTCTTATCATTAAGTAATGTCTTACAATTGCATCTTTCTGTAAAATCAAAATTATACATGTACTGCAGCATGAAAGGAAAAAAATCTCAGCATCTACAACCCTGTTGTAGGTTGATGATGGGTTCTTCCCCTGTAAGGCGATTCTCAATAAAAGGAGATGAACGCACTTCCCTCCACAGCTCTCCTACATGTAGATATACACATGCATACATATGTATTTTGTTAATAGTTTTGATGTTCAGTTTTACTGATCAGACACTTACAGGTTTTGGCTTCTCTCTTGAGTTACATTTTTTCAGATGCTTTGCTAGTTGATCTTCATATACTGTGCTAAATTTAAAGAGTAAATTTTAAGTGAGATGTGACAACTACTGTTTCCAGCACAGAAAAATCCCTTATCTGATCCATACTTACTGTTTTGGATCTAAAGGACACAGGATTCTTTTCCGAGTATTTTCTTCCTAATAAATCAAAAAGAATATATTTAAGTAAGATATCAAGTTCATTACTTAGATAGCAGAAGTAACTCCAGTATATCTGCATTCCCAAAACAAGGCAAGTAAATCTTAAAATAATATAATGAAAGACAAGTAAAATCAGGTCATAGAATAATAAAAACAACAAATCTGTGTAGCTTGCGAATGTACGTATATAAACAAATATAGCTTTGGACAAGCAAGGGTCTCTAGGTTCAAATAAATTATAGAGAAGACCTACATATGTAATATTAAATCTGTAATAATAATGACTCCAGTTCTGCTACTATTTTTGCACTAATGAAGAAAAAATGTTAATCATTTACTTTATTTCAAATTAACTAATTAAAAATCCAACAAAAATTGTGTCCAGCTGGGCATCACGCATACACCTATAATCCTAGTATTCTGGGAGGCTGAAGCAAGAGGATTGCAATGAGTACAGACTCAGCAACTAAGTGAAATAGTGAGACCATGTCTCAAAATAAAAATGATGGGGATATGGCTCAGTACAAAGGCCCAGGGTTCAGTCCCTTGTACCTAAAAATTTTTTTTCTTTAAATTGGATTGTTCATCATGTATAACATATCTTGAAATAGGTATATTTTGTGGAATGGTTAAAGGTGAACTAATTAAATATGAATTACTTCACATATTTATTCTTTATGGAAAAATGCTGCCCATTTTAATTATGACATACTGTATTAATTTTTAAATGCTTCCTGTTGTTAAAATGTGGAAAATGCCTTAGAAACAATAAAACATCGCATTTAACAATTTGGCACATGCTGTATTCTATTGGTTTTGCAACTTTTTATATAGCAGTTACCATATCTTTTACTTTTAACTTACATGGATTTAACTGTATAATCTTAGAAAAAAGAATGGAAAACTAATGATGTTGGCAATTTTACCTAACATTCCATACAAATCTGTATGAAATTAGATAGCACAGTAGTTAAAACCACAGGCCAGTCAGACTGCTTAGATATCATTTCAGCTCTAAAAGGTACTAGCCCTATGAACCTAGGAAGGATTATTGCCTCATGAGATAAGAATAATAGTGTGAGGCTGGGGATTTAGCTCAGTGGTTCCGTTGCCTGCCTCACAAGCACAAGGTCCCGAGTTCAATCCCCAGTACCAAAAAGCAAACAAAGAATAATAGTGTGTATTACCTCCTAAAGTTAATGAAAATTAGATAGAGTTTAAAAGAAAAAACCCAAAACAACAGAGTAGCCAGAGCAAAACCAAAGTGTTCACTCTCAATTTTTTCTCAATTTCAGTTCTGATATGCCTCTAAGAAATCTTCAACCTTTTCTGTTGAAATGCTGTACATTAATTTTTCCTTATTTGCTGACTTCAAATTTAGCTTCTAGCCAGGTACCATGGGGTGTGCCTATAGTCCTAGCTACCTTTGGGAGACTGAGGTGGGAGCTCAAATATCTTAAGAACAAGATATTGGATACTCACCTGGGCAACATAGTAAGAGTCCCTTGCTTTTGTCTCAACAAAGATTAACTTCTATGCAGGAAAAGCCTCTATTCTAACTTTCAAAGCCTGACTAGAGTGGGAAAATAGAACACTTTGAAATTTATCATTTGGGAAACAGAGTTTCTCAATCTTGGAAATATTGACAATTTGGATTGGATAATTCTTTTTAGGGGGCTGAGGAGAAGCAAACTGTCTTGTGATTTGTAGGTGGTTTAGCAGTGTCTCTGGCCTTTATCTATTAGATGCCAGTAACATTTCCCAGTTTTGACAATGAAATTGTCTTCAGACATTGCCATGTGTCTGACAAAATCATCCCCAGTTGAGTACTATTGGGTAAAAATTAGTGTAAGTAGTGTCCTCACAACTATATATGACAGTTGTTTTTTGTTTTTTTAAAGAAAGACAATACAATTATATAAAAAATTAGGGTTCAGGAGAATGGTCACATTTCAAATCCTAATTGTAGTCATGAAATTGTTTCCACTTGGTGTTTTTGCAGTCTTTCTTCAAGGGACTATGCCAGATATCATTATTGTTCAGTAGGGATTTATCCATAGTCTGCTACTATCTTCATCATCAGTCATTTTCGAGATTTCTGGATACAGAGTAGAGACAAAATCCTACTACAATAATCTCATTCTTTAATCAAAGGATGTTTGCTGGCTCCCTACAACCAGCCAATAGACAACTGTAGCTGGACTTCGAAGAGTTCCCACAGTAAATCACATCTCCCGCATTCCAAAGCAAGTACGTCCTGTTACAGTATGCTTCACTTTAGGTAAATGACCAGTCAAACCAAAAACATGAAGCAGGCTATGGCTGTGAAGGGCAATGGATTTTACCTACAGCGATTAAACTGTTTGAACAAAAAATAAAATAATGCAAATAATACTGGACTTTCTGCAGACTGAAACCAAAAGCTGGCCTATTTGGTTTATTCTAATCCTAGTAGACATTCTCTATATCTATCAGCATCCTGCTCCTCTTGTTCTTATTTCTATTTTCCTATCATGTATATATATGTGTGTATATATACATATATTCTAAACTAGCAATACACACGCAATATACCAATATGTATTGCGTGATACAACAGCTATTTATATAACTATATTATAGAACAAAATTGTACGTGCTTTTCTATTTTAAAAAATCTTTCCTACCTCATTACAGAAAGCAGTTTTAAGTTGTTTTCTAGAGATTGTAAGTGTAAAAACATTTTTAAAGTTTCTTTCTAGTACATTCACGAGAAGGGGCTTTCACAAAACAATAATTAGAACACAATGCCGTAGTGAAATCTAGGGACTTCTATCAGTACTTTTCGTAAATTACTATTTCACGTGAGTAGTAAGTTGGGGTAAAACTAAAATATGCAAAATGACCTAGGTTAGGATCAGGATAAATATGTCACAGCTGGCGATTTACTTTGAAAAAGAAAATGCTCAGTCACTGAGGCTCATCATCATTCTGAAAGGAGATCAAAACTACGTTTATTAAAGTAAAGGCTGGAGAATCCGGGAGACAGAAGCAGAAACCTGTCAAAGAGAGAAGGGGCCAGGTTCCAGCACCGACCGGACCGGGAAACTTATTTCCGACTCTCAGGAGGGTAGGGCGATACCAGACCTCCGCGGCTCCAGCGTGTTCACCACAGAACCTTTTTCCCGCAGCCACCACCATCCTGCAGAACCGCTTCTTCTTTTCCACGTAGTAACTGCATCTACCCTCAGCTGGAAAACCAGTCGCGGACTGTGTCGACGCAGAAGCTGCCATTATTCAGGGTCCACTTCTGGTGGCAAGCATCTGGCGCCCAGTTTAAAAGTTGTCAGTTCCCTTCAGGTCCTCTTCCCTTAACAAACATGGCAGCTTTGGCTCCTACCACACAGGTCAGTTCCCGGAAATAGCGTAAACGTCCTCGCCCCCTTCTTTTGTAAAACAGGAAGAGGTTGATGGTGGCCGGTGAGGTCCAAACTTCCTCCGTCTTTCCTCCGTTTCTATCTCCCCGCCTCCTCCGCGGAAGCAGAGCGCCAAACTCAAACCTTATCTGGACCTGGTCGCTTTACAAGGCTAGTACCAAGGGCCGGGCCTGGTGGGCTTTTCCGCACACCCGCCAGGGCAGCGGTCCAACATGAGCCAAGTCCTGTTCCAGCAGCTAATTCCGTTGCAGGTGAAATGCAGAGACAGCGAGGAGAGGTGAGCTCCGCGTTACTTGGTGCCCGCGGGTGGCGGTTGGGGCCCGGCCAATGGGGAAGATGGCGGCGCTGGCCTTTGGGTGTCGGGTTCGCCCGCACGCGAAGAGGGAGCCCAGCAGGGAGGTAAGGGTCACCTCTGTCACCAAGTCTGCTCTTGCGGAGGGGAAGGAAAGAAAAGTGAGGAGCGGGGAGCCGACTCGCCTAGAAATCGTAGCTTCTGGGCACGGCGGCGATGATTGCCCTACTCTTTCCTTTTGGTAGATGAGAGCCGTGGCCTCGAGAAATTAATTTACGCTGAGACTCACGGTGAGTTCATTGCAGGCATGGTCAGCACTAGAGCTCAGGCCTTGGTTGCTACCCATTTCTTCCCGTTCTGCTTTTGAAATGTATCGGGAGTAATTGCAACTTCAGTTTAACAAATACATTAGTGTTATACTTTGGAGCATCTTCAAATTAGTTACAAAACAAAGCAAATTACTTTTTAAACGGACTAAAAACAATGAGAAATTAGGAACTGAGGTTATTCAAGAAATGTTGCCTACTTGTAAAACTCCTTGCTTGCCACTAGGTATACTGTGGTCTTCGTGGAGTTTACAGTCCAGTTAGAGGAAATAAATCCCAGTCTCTTAAACAAATGCAAAGGTGCAACTTTGACTAAGGAAGTGGCCCTATCAAAGCTTTAGAAAGAGCTTTGACTGTAAAGCAAGAGATGTAAAAACAATTTTTTTTCGTTTCACTACTGTTCTGTGAGTTTCTTGAACGTTGTTTCCTCATTTGTAAAATTGTTATAATTTGCCTACCCACTTAATGAAGATCAAGTGTGAAAATATATCTAAAAACCAAACGGTGTAGGAACTGTAGCATTAAAAATGAAGACATTGATTTAGTCTCCAGTAATGTTAAACTGTGGTATAAAATTCAGATTTAGGTCCACAATCCATTGGCAAGCCAGACAGGAACTGGTAGTGAAGCCAGCAGTTATATACGGAATCTGTCAGTTATTTTAATGTTTTGTTTGTTTGGGGGAAAATTCAAGGACTTACTTATATTAAGTGCACTTTTTGCTTCCAGGCTATAAGTCCTATTCTCTAATTGGTCATTATTTTGTGCTTTGCAGTGTGGTGGTTTGTTGGGCATTTGACATGGGGCTAATCCAAAGTAACACGCTGTAAGTGTAAAAAAGTGTAAAATGCACATTAGATTGTGGAAACATGCATGGAAAAAGAATGTAAAATCTAATAATTTTTGTATTATGTGTTAAAATGGTAACATTTGGGTGTATTGGGTTAAAATTTATATTACAGTTAATTTTACCTACTTCTAGATTTTTTCAATGTGGCTTCTAGAAAATTTTGAATTACATACATGACTCACATTTTGTGGTCTGCATTGTGTCTCTATTATGCAACACTGTCCTAGAATGATTATAAAAGAAAATAAAAGGGAGAATCACTTCTGATACTAATATTGAAACTACGAACTCTTATTCATCTTATTGTCATCACAGTTAATCTTCTTTTTTTAAATTTTGTCTGGAGGAAGGGGTGTGGGTTTTTTTCAAGACTGGGTCTTGCTAAGTAGTTCTGGCTGGCCCTGAATTCACTATATGTAGCCCGGGCTGGCCTCAAACTCACGGCAAGCTTGCTGCCTTAGTCTCTCGAGTGCTGGAATTACAGGCATGTGTCACCACAGTTAATCGTAAAACAATATTAATCTTTTTATTCTTTGTGTTTAGGAATCTGTCATGTATTCCTATCACGTATACCAGGGCTCAGCAAAGTAGAGCCTGAGGAAGAAATGGCCCACTATTTGTAAATAAAATTTTATTGGAACACAGCCATACTTTTTTGCTTACAAATTGTCTGTGGCTGCTTTTGCATGACAGGTGAAGAAATGAGTAATTGTATTATGAGTTTTATGACAGGGGGGTGTTGAGGATATAGCTCTTGCGTTATAGGTATAAGGCCCGAGATTCTATTTCCAGCATTACAAGAAAAACCAAAAAAAAAAAAACCGAGAGTGTGTGTGTGTGTGTGTGTGTGTGTTTGTGTGTGTGTGTGAGGGGATTGACTATTTCTGACAGACTCAGTAGTCTGCAAAGCCTAAAATATTGCTTGCAGGCCCTTTACAGAGTAATATGTTGGCCTCTGACCTATTTGAAGAATAACCTACATTTTTGTCAGTTAAACATTAAAGGCCCGTTCAGCTTAACAAATATTTGCAGTTTCCTACGACTCATCAGGAGCTGTCCTAGGTGCTGAGGCTACCCCCCCATAAATATAAAAAAAATTATCATTGTGGCCCTCACTTTAATAGGGGAAATCTAAAGATTGCCCTTGGAGCCAGGTGTGGTAGTGCATGTCTGTAATCCCAGCTACTTGGGAGGCTGAGACAGGAGGAGGATCCATTTGAGGATCCATTTGAAGCCAATCTGGGCAATTTAAAACCTGAGCCTGTCTCAAAACAGAAATAAAGGATTAAGGGTATAGCACAGTGGTAAAACACTTGCTTGGCATGTGTGAGCCCTGTGTTCAATCCTAGTAACTTACACAAAGAAAACTCTTTCCCTTGGAGAGGTGGCATAGCACAGGTTGAGTTCAGGCTCTAGAGACAGACTGTCTTTTTTTAGCAGCTGTTGGGAGTGTGGACCCGAAGGCCTGTTGAAAAGTCTACCACTGAGCTACAACCCCAACCCTGATCTTGTACAATTTATTTAACTTCTTTTGCCTCATCTTTAAATTTATGATTTATTGGAGTGTAATAAACATTAGCTATTATTACATTGATTAGTACATAAAGTAATATAAAGTTTCAGAGAAGGAAATTCAGTAGAGGATACTGACAATGATCAGGGAACTCTATTAGAGAAAAGTAATGTAGTGTTGAAGCTTGTGATTTGATATAACTTGCTTTTTCAGTTTGGTATCCTCAGTTCCCCTCTACAGTATATTAGTCAAACGGGAGAGAGGTCACAGCCTCTGGGTAACAATAGGCTAGGATCCAGTTTTGCTAATGTCTGATGTTTAAGATATTCTTTATTGAAAAGAACACATGGTCAAATCTAACTGACCCAGAAGATGTTATGTAGATCTATGCTGTGTTTAGAGTGTAGTACTGAGATCAGAAACAATATCTTTTATTGAAGTTTTATTAATATTGCTCTTATATCATTTGCCATTATAATGGAGAAAATAAAATTTGTAATTTCAGATAGTATGTCCACTGAAAGTTCAGATTTTTCTATATGTATTTTTAGGGATGTTTTTGAAGTAAATTTGGGGAATATGTTTAATTTATGTCCTTTTCTGTATTTTTCCTCCAGTCATCTAATGAATATCACCCCCCACCCAATCTACCCATACTAAGGATTAAACCACATTCCCAACCCTTTTTTATTTTGAGACAAAGTTGGGCTTGCTTGCTACCCAGGTTGGGCTTGACCTTGTGATCTTCTTGCCTCATTCTCCCAGACCACTGGGATTATAATAGGTGTGTGCCTCCATGCCCAGTTGAAAAATGGCATTTTGAATATGTGTGACAATATCATTAATATGTTTGGTAAATTATCACAGTAATCTAACTCAGAATTATCTAAAGGATATTTTATTAAATAGGTTCTTGAAGTATGATGACTTCTAAATCTACATCACCATTAAAAAGGAGTTGGGCCGGGGATTTAGCTCAGTGGTTCCGCTGCCTGCTTTGCAAGTTCAAGGACCCGAGTTCGATCTCCAGTACAAAAAAAAAAAAAAAAAGGTATCAAGCAAGTGTCATATTACATGGTAGAGAAAAAAAATTTTTTTGAAGGTATGTAGTCTAGGCTGGCCTTGAACTCACTGTGTAGCCTAGGTTGGCCGCAAACTCACAGTGATCTTCCTGCCTCAGCTTCCTGAGTGCTGGGACTATAGGCATATACACATCACCCAACAAAAAATCAAGCATAATGACATTGTATAGCTAAAAGCCCTAAACAAATCATCTAATTGAATCTACTTATCTTACAAAGTAGGAAATTGGGGTTTTTTCCTCCCAAAAAGTCTTAATCTGTTTCATATACATTGCTCTAGATAACTAGAAATATAGTAATATTGAAATATAGAAATATTGTAAAATAATTCTTCCTATCTTTATAGTATGAGTAGCACTGCTATTATTTTTTAGGTAACAAATACAACTTAATGGTAACCTAGCCTCATATAAACAAAGATTTAGCATCCATTAATCTATGTTTCAGAAGAAATTTTAAATGATATGTTTTCTTAAAAATACAAAATAACAAATTAGAGCACCACATAAGATCTTGGCCAACAGTTTCCAAGTTTTTCCATCAGTACTCAAGTGCTATGTCTATACATTCTATTTCTCTAGTAGAAAAGTAGTAGAATGTGGGAAAAATTTAAAACAAATCTTTTAGAAGTCAAAATTGAACACATTCTATTTGGTAATTTACTTTTTTGCCCTGCATGGCAGAGAAACACTATTGGTATTGAATTCAAACTATTTGTGTCTAAATGTTTTTCACTAATTTTCCCTTTATTTTATTAATTATTGAAACATTTTTTTCTCCATTTGATTGTCGATTATCTTTATTTGTATCGCTCTGTGTAGTACTGAATTCTCTTGAGTTGCACCTGAGAGTGTGGAAGGCTGTGGTGTCTCCCTGTTAGACCTTAATTATTCTAGGAGTGATGGCAAACCTTTTAGAGACCTACTACCCAGACTGCAACCCAAAACCCACTTATTTATCACAAAATGCCAACAGTGCAATTAAATCTGAATATTGTCAGACCATGCAAGAGCTCAGTGGAGTCAACAGCTCATGAGTTGTGGCTTCTGACATCATTGCCTGGCTCCAAGTATATACATGGCCCCTTTGTGCACTGTTAGCCAATGCTGGTGTGATGCTGGGGCAACTTGGCTTGCGTGTGTGCCATACGTTCACCACCACTGCTCTAGAATGTGAGAGATAATGATAAACTTGTCAGTATGTTACAGAGAGACTCTGTTAAGCAGATTTAGTATGGATATCTGAAAAAAAAATTTCGTGTGTGCAAAAGTATATAGAATGTTATTTCCTTGATTCTACATAGTCTAAATTTACATTTAGTGTTTGAAGTGAAATCTTCAACAATGAATTTGATCACTTGCAATGTTAATTTTTTTTTTTTTTTTTTTTTAATGGAGGGGTTGTGATGGTTTGTCTTTCAGTAGATGCTGTTTTAGAGTCAGGGCACTAAGGTTATATACCAGAATAGTATTAGGCACTGCACATTGTTTATCCCATTTAACCCTCATACCTTCCCCATTTTATAGTGAGGAAAATTTAGTTTAGAAACTAGTACTGGTTGTAATGGCTTGTATCTGGATGTCCCCTAAAGCCTTATGTGCTCATAGGTGGGGATTTTGGAGCTGGCTGAGTCTAGGGTAGGACATTGGGATTGGTGTGTGACATTGCTACACTAAATTAGTCCATTGATTGGAATTAGCATAGTTCTTGGTGACTCCACCCAGAAGGCTGGTGGACTGGATGGGATAAAAGGGAAAGGCGGACTGGGTGCTGCTGTTGCTTGTTGTCTTCTGATTGATACTTGCTGAGCAGTTTCTCATGCCATACCACCCTGCCTTAGAGCCAGCCAACTATAGACTAAAACCTCCACAAACTGTGAGCTAAAATAAACTTTTCCTCCTTTAACTTGCGAGCGTCATCTATTTTGTTTCAGCAATGAGAAAAGTCACTAAGACGGTTGCTTATTAGTGGAAGAATAAGAACTTAAACCTTAAGTCCAGTGTGCATTGGAAATACTTGAACAGTGGAGTGGGGATATAGTTCAGTGGTAGAGCACTTGCCTGGCATACACAAGGCCTTTCATTCCACCCCCTGTACTGTAATTAATAAACAAATAAATATTTGCTCATAAGTTAGAAAACACTTGTGAAAAATCTTGTGGCTTAAGACTGAAAACTTTAGTTAATACAAATTATAGAGATAATTTCATGTTAATATTTTTGATGGTTTGGCATGTCTTTATATACAGGAGAATAAGTGTTAGAGTGAGCATTGAACTACAATCAGTTTCTAATCCAGTTCACAGAAAGGTTGGTATTGTTTTTCAAAATATGATAAGTTCTATATATTAATTTTTATTTAAGAATGTGAGCTCTCTTGTGATAGCCACCTTGCTTTTTAATTTTGGACCATTTTGGAACTGTTGCAATCTAGAATGAGTTCTAGACTGAGACAACAACTGAAAGATAATTATATATTTCTAAAGAACACAAGAAGAATCAAGCGGCATGCAGTAGCATCCTCCTTTGGTTTGCTCAGATCAGTTAAAAGTTTCTAGACTATGTATTATTTCTTTTTGCCATTTCAGGGCCGGGGATTTAGCTCAGTGGTGCAGGTCCTGAGTTTAATCCCCAGTACCAAAACCAAAAAACCAAACAATGAAAAAAAAAAAAAAAAGAATTGCCATTTCGTAGTGTAAATGTGAGAACAGAATGTATTGGAGCACTACAGGGAGTTACTTTTTATTTAACTTTTGAAAAGAATCAGTTAGAGCTTCTGTCCCATATGATCTACAAAGTATGAGACAAAACAGAGTTAAGGATATAGAGCAAGGGGCTAAGAAATCCAGCATTTGTCTTCCCTGTGTTGTAGCTTTCTGTGAATATATTCAAGTACTTGATATTATTAGTAGGAGTTTCAAGGTTTTTTTGTTTTGTTTTGTTGTGTTTTGAATAGCATCTTGGGGTGAATTTCAAAAATTACTTAAATAGAAGCTGCTTACAGGGCATGCTGACAATCAAATACCCAAACTACTAATTTTCTAGGGTGAGGATTATATATTATACTTCATACATGTTATTCCTTGTGCCTGCTGTACCTCTTTATTTTCTAGTTTTACTTATAGAATTTAAATTTTTCTAGGACTCTAGCAGTTCCTCGGTAGTTGAAAATAGATTTGTGTCTCAAACTTACTGGTAATTTGATTGTTTAATTCTGTATTACTCCTTCCTTGCGGCTTTGCTATTTTCCTTGCACCAGAGTTCTCTGAAGTATGTACTTTGGAGTATCTTGCTGTTAGCTTTAACTGCTCTGGTGATCTGCCACGCTATACATTTAACAAACTGGAAATGGTCTTTATAAACAAATCCACTCTGTTAGACAAATGGGAACAGATGGGCATCATCATCCTCATCAGGAGCCATCTGGAGTAGAGAGAACAGGCTCTTATAGGAAGCCCTCGCCACATGTCACCTAATACTCATCTTCCTGAGTGACAAAAGCTCCTTCCTTAGGGTGAATAATTGTTGACAGTTCTGCTGGGGTATTTACCTCTTTTGATGTGCCCGGCCAGTCAGTTAAGGGGAACTGAATGTCTGGCTGAGTTTGGTGTGTCCAGCAGTAAGGAGCATCTCTCATGATACCATAGTGCAAGCAAAAGCTGGTGTAAATTTGCCCATGCCTCTGGAAGGACGATACTCCTATATTTTCAGTTGCTAACATATAATTACCTTTTATAGACCCTTGTAAAGCTATCAAGGAGCAGAATCCTCCCCCCATTTAAGTCTCTAAAAAGTAACAAAACAAAACTATCTGAAGTATAAATGTGATATGTTGATGTTATTCAGTAGTTAAGATCTACTGAAAACATTTTTTAAAAAATATTTCTTTTAGGATTTAGTTATTCGTCTGACTGATGATACAGATCCATTTTTTTTGTATAACCTTGTTATATCTGAGGAAGATTTTCAAAGGTAAGTTTTTTTTTTTTCCTAGTCTTATGTTTAACCTAAGATTAATTTTCTGTTTTACAAATGTATTGACATTGTTGCGCTTGAAACACCTGTTGTTTGTAGGTGTAACTGTTCAGAACATTTAGTTTTTTCTGGGAATATGGTACTCTTTGTTCTAAAGTTATTTAGAATATCTTTGAAAATATATTATCAGAGTTCTGCTTAATACAGCTCAGAAGTTTGGAGCTTTAGCTAATTAATTGCTTAGCTTTTTTCCTCTCATCAAATAAACTATAAAATTCAAAGTTTCCTAGCTTAGTTCTTGATTATAATGGGTGTTCAGTAAATTTATGGTTAAATAGTAATTAAAATTTTAAAAATTTCTTTTCCTGCCTTTTGTGTAGTTTAAAATTCCAACAAGGTCTTCTGGTAGACTTCTTAGCTTTCCCACAAAAATTTATAGATCTCCTTCAGCAGTGTGCTCAAGAACATGCCAAAGAAATCCCAAGGTAAGTTGCATAAAAGTACTACATAATTAAAACTTTGAAGATAGACTCTTTGAAAGATAAATTGATGGCAAAATATTGTTCATATATTGTAATTACTCCTGTTTATTTTTAAAACTAGGTTTAGTGATTGTTTTTGGAATCAATTATTTCATTAGTAACTACAAAATGATTCTTTTCTGAATCTACAGTTCTTTCCACGTCTATTAAGTATAATTCTTTCAACTTTACATCATCAGTTAGGGCTACTTGATTACTCTGAAAGTTCATATGGGGAAGAACAAATGCTTAGTTCTTATTATGAATTTAAGGACTTTTATATATTCATTGTTTCAACCTCACGGACCCTATTCACCTTCTCTTTTATACTGGGAGTCCTTTCACATTAGCTTCTATGATTTCAAAATGTTCCTTTTCCTTGTCTTTCAAAGTAGAGGAGTTTATGATTCAGTGGGAGAGTTTCACTGTCTCCTAAGTATGTTATAACATGACATTTTCTTTTCAAAGGTTTTTACTACAGTTAGTTTCTTCAGCAGCTATTTTGGATAACTCACCTGCGTTTTTAAATGTGGTAGAGACAAATCCTTTTAAGCATCTTACACACCTCTCACTAAAACTTTTACCTGGAAATGATACGGAGATAAAGAAATTTCTAGCAGGCTGTTTGAGATGTAGCAAGGTAAGATTTAAATGTAAGTTATTCTTTTAAATTAGATACCAAAGGGGCTGGGGATTTAGCTCAGTGGTTCTCTCACCTGCCTTGCAAGCACAAGGACCTGAGTTCAATCCCTGGTACCAAAATAAATAAATAAGGTAGAAAAGTACATTGATAAATTACTAACAAACTCTGTTGCCATTTCTTGTTTTCTGATTAAAGTGTTATAGTTTGTAATGAACATACTGTTTTTTCATTTAGTTGTGGTACGAGTATAGAACTGGATCAAGCTTTGAGAATTTAAACTGTCAGGATTTCATCCACTGACATTTGTGTATCTGGCTTATCATAAATGAGATGAAATGTATGAAAGTGTCTTGAATATTACAAAAGATATAACAGATAAGATATAAGGAAGCAGCATTGTGTTGTCACCTCAGAGATTTGAGAAAATTTTTCAGTTAAATGCTATAAATTAGCATATGTTTAATACTAATGATACACAGATCATCTGAGGATTTGTTAAAATGCAGATTCTGATTTAGAAAGTCTGAGATTTTTCTTATCAAGCTCTTAGGATGATACTGATGCTGTATTTTGTTATACTTTGAGTAATTTTGCTACAAAGATTTAATTGTAAACTGAATAATTTTTTATTTTTATAACTAGGAAGAAAAATTATTATTAACACAATCACTAGATGATGTTACTAGGCAACTGAACCTCACAAAAAAGGTAATTCACATTTCATTTTATCTTTGTAAGTCATCCAGACATTGGCTCTGTATTGGTTAGTAAATTAAGTCAAGCTTTTGTGTATTTCTTTCAAAGTGTGCTACCATTAAGTTTCCCCTCCTTTTTGCCCCTTTCTCTGCCAGTTAATTACCTTAATCTGATGCGTCTCTTTTAGATGTTTATTTCCACCCAAACATTTCTTTCATCTCAAGTACATGACATATTTTCTCTAAGTTGTCAATAAGTTTAGCATCTATGATATGTTAGTTCTCTTCTCCTGTTTTATTAGTCTCCTTTTTGTGGTTTAAAATGGCTTTTTTAGGTCCTTTCTTCTAAACCATTCTCTTCTGTTATGATTGAAAATAATTTCTCAGATGAGCTTAGTATCATTTTATTTGTAGCTACTACATTTTGCCCCTACTCCTTGGGATTGATAAGCTGCCTGGCTTCAGACAGAAAATGCTCCTGCACAACATGGCCCTCATGGACCTTTATTTTATTACTGTGTTTTATAAATAAGTAAGGTACGGCTTAAAACTGATTTGCTCCATTTGGGTTGCCTTCCTTTTTAATGTCAGAGGAAAGGATTTGGTGGCAAAGAGATATTTATAATTAACAGCTTAAAGATAGGTTTCGCCTGTGACCAATTTTAGCTGTAATATTGCTGTTATTCTAACCATTCCTCAGTGAGGAACATCTGTGTAGGCTTTGCATATATTTGAAAATCTGACATTTTATTTCTTTAAGAGTACTATCTTATAAATATCTCTGTGTACTAATTAGAAATGTAAGCTTCAGGAGACTTATTTTAACGTTTTGCACCAAATTCTAATATAGACATTATCAGAAAAAATACAAGAATTAGACAAATTACGGAATGAATGGGTATCACACACAGCCTCACTAACAAATAAGCATTCTCAGGAACTGACAAATGAGAAGGAAAAAGCATTACAGGTGAGTACATAAAAGGTAACTGAAAGGAAATTCTTTATTGCTATTGGTCATTTTGAGGATTGTGAAAGTAATAATGCTTGCTTTAATATTTTAAAACATAGAAATATGTAAAAGTTGAAAGTTTATCTTTCAAAGTTACTACTCTACATTTGATGTGATTTTTTACCCTTATATGCATATGTAAATATACAATTTATAAGTATTTGTTTATAAGTATAGCAATATAAATTATATAATTGTAGATGTATAAGTCATGGTTGAAATTAATGTATAAATTTAAAACAATTTATTACAGCAAAAGACCTTATTACCATGAATCCTTGCAAAGTACTTCTCATTTTAGGCACACTTAGTCTGTCATTCTTGCCATTTTCTGAAGCAGGCTTGAAGTTCTCTCTTTTCTGATTTTTTTGGTTTTTGGAGATAAGGTCTCACTGTGTAGTTTAGGCTGGTCGTAAAGCCTTGAACTCATAGCAGTCCTCCTGCCTCAGCTTCCCTGGTGCTGGGTTTATAGGCATGAGCTACCACACCTAGCCTGGAAGTCCTTTTATGTGATTTCTTTACAAAGTGTGATTAAAAAAACCTGAATTCTGCTGTCCAGTGCCACCTACTGGAAAGGGAGGCTCGTAAAAACATGACACTATCCTCATACAATTTATTCAAGGTGGAACTTCAGGCTCTTCCCCAAAGACAAAATAAACATGGAAAGGTAAACATTTTGGCCACCTGAGAACATCAAAGCAACCTGAACAGAGCAGCTAATGACACAAAAGAGTGCTTCCAGAACTGCTTCAGAAAATGACAAGAATGATGGGATATTTATGTGTTGGAATCTTGGGGGGCATTTTCAGGAGGATGAATGGCAGTGTGTCTTACTGTAATAAGTTTTAAGTATTCACTATATTTTATCACTCTTCATTTGTACACTCACAGTGAGTTTCTGATTTTGTTCAATACTGATAAGGTGTTTCTGGTTATGTTGATTATAACTTTTTCACTTAACCTCTTTCAGTTTGGATACTCCTTTTTAGTATAGTTTTTGGATGTAAATTATTTAACTACTTTCCAAACTGATAGCATTTAAGTGGTTGGAAAAGAAAGTGCTTGTTTTAATTTTTTTGAGGGTGGCTAAGATAATCTTGCTGTGTAGCTCAGGCTGGCCTTACACATACTCACAAGGTTCCTCCTACCTCAGTCTCCCAAGTGCAGGGATTACAGATGTGTGCCACTATTCCCAGCTTTTCTGTAATATAGCCTCAGACCTTTTAATTTCTTTTGTAGGTTATTTTTAAATACTTTACATCCTTTTGCTATGTATTTCCTTTTGCTGTATAATTACCATTTTATGGGTTCTTTCTTGCCTTCTACAGTATAGTTCTTAATATTACATTTTATTAAAACATTATTTAAACATTATTTATTTAAACATAGTAAATATTTAGTCTTAAGAATCCAGCTGGATTTTTTTGTTGTTGTTACTGGAGATGGAAGCTATGGACTTAGAACTGAGCTATACCCTCAGCCCTTTTATTCTTTTTTATTTATTAAATTAGGGTCTTACTACATTGGGCTCAAACTTATAGTCCTTCTGCCTCAGCCTCTCTGAGTGGATTACAGGTGTGCACCACCACTCCCTACCTGGATAATTTTTTTTTTTTTTTTTTTTTTTTTTT